GCCGCCGGGGGAGCGGGCGAGGGGGCGGGGCGGCCGGTTTGGCCGCGCCCTCAGACAAGTGCTTGAGGTGGGGTTGAGGCGGGGAGGGGGACGCGCCGTGCAATGAGCGGCCGCGGGCGGAAGAGACGGCGGACGGGCGCCGCAGGGAGCGCCTGCCGGCGCGCGGGGGGCGCGAGCGCGCGGCATGACAGGGTGCGGCGAGTCAACGGGATGCAGGGTAGGGCAGGGTGCAACGGGGTGCGGGCGGGGGCGATGATACGATGGGTGGTAAGGGGATAGCGGCATCCGTTGGGCAGTGCATACATAAGTTGGAGATGAAAAGTCTGTGAAGGACCGCTGACCTGGCACGAGGGTATACACACACAGGAACGCCGGCGCGAGCGGGGGCGGGGGCGCCGCGGGCGCCGCGCCGCGCGGCAAGAGCGGCGGGGTTGGTGCCGCGGCGCTTGCTCGTCAAAGCGCCACACCACATGGGTTCGTTTTGTTGGACCGGCCGCATGCTTTGGTTCCGCCGTCTTTGGCGCCGCGTTTCTCATGGGATCAAGGGCGGAGAGGCGCCCGGGCGGTCGCGAGGCGGGGGCTGAGGGCAGATCCGCCGCCCTCGCCGCCGCCCGCCCCATGTCGCCTCCTCAGGCCGCCGGCCCCACGCCCATCCCGCAGGCGCCGACAACTCCCCCCATCCCGCCAAAGGCCCCGCCGATCTCCTCCCCCACCAACCCCGGCTCCCGCCTGCCGACCATCGTTCCACTTAGGTCGTCCCCCCGCGTCGCCTGCAGCCATCCCGCCAGCTTCGCGGCGGCTTCCGCGAACGTCGGGCGCGCGGCGGGGTCGCGGGCGAGGCAGCCGCGGGCGAGATCGTCGAGGGCGGGCGGAAGGCCGGCGGGCACCTCCAGAGATCTCCCCAGAGCTGACACCTGGAGGACCACCGCGGTGTGGCTGAGGCCGGCCCAGGCGCGGGTGCCAGTGAGCATCTCCTGCAGCATGACTCCGAATGAGTAAACGTCCGAGGCCTGCGGGAGACAGGGATGGGCGGGGCGGCAGAGGGGAGGGACGGTTGGCTGATGAGGAGGGGGAGGGGGTTGGGGGCAGCCGCCGAGGCGATACCTGGGAGGGCAGCCAGCGCGTTTTGGGGGGCCCAGGGAGATAGCCCGTCGGCCGGGGGGCCGAGGCGCGGCCTGGCGCGGGGGTTAGGTGGGGCGGCCGTTGCTGCGGAAGACGCTGCAGTGTTGCGCGTGCGCAGCGGCGCTGGCACCCAGGGTCCTCACCCGGGCAGTCACTACCCAACCCCCCAAAACAAACACACACACACACACACACACACACACACACACACACATATACACACAACAACAACAACAACAACAACAACAACAACAACAACAACAACAACAACAACAACAACAACAACAACAACAACAACAACAACAACAACAACTAACACGTCACTACATGCGAAGGCCACACCACCGCCCCCGATTTCCCCCGCAAGCGACGCGGTCGAGCGCCCACGTGTGCCAACGCCTCCTCAAGCAGCACCTCTGGCGCCACGCGCCCACACCCAACCCAACACCCTCAACGCCCACACCTGACAGGCCACACAACACACACACACACACACACACACACACACACACACACACACACACGCGCGCGCGCGCGCTTCCCCCCCACCTGCGTGATCGCCCCCTCAAGGAGCACCTCTGGAGCCACGTGCGTCACCGTGCCGTACCCGTCCCTGCTCAGCCGCAGCCGCTCCCCCGGCGCCGCCAGCCGCCGGCACAGCCCAAAGTCGCCGACGCGCGCGGCGGGGAACGCGGGCGGCGCGCCGGGCGCGGAGGGGGCGGCCTGCAGCATAATGTTGCCGCCGCACAGGTCCTGGGGGTTTCGGGGGGGATTTCAAGGAGATTCGAGGGGTTGGAGACGTACTCGGGGGAACATTGAGGGGTGTCAAGGGGGAGGGGGTCATACTGCTTGGGGTGCTGAAGAAATGTTGAAGAGCTGTCGGATCCCAAGGTGTTGTTTCAAGGCCGGCAGCCGGCCGCTCAGGGGCGGGACGGGGGGCGGGACGCGCCCTGCAGGGC